AGAATCACATAAATGTAATCAATTGGTCTTTGGCAGAAAAACAAAGGCAATACAATATAGCAAAGATTTGCTGCCTTTTCAACCAAATGTTGTTGGAACAACTAGACAACCACATGCCAAAAATAAATCTAGGGACACACTTTCAACCTGCCGCAACCATTAATTCAAAATGGATCAGACCTAAATGTAAAACTTAAAATGCAAATGTGAAGTGACAGTCACTTTAAAAGACAGTTTGGCAGCATCTTACAAAACATACTCTTTACCATAAGACCCGAATGAGTTATGTCCACATTAAAACCCTGCACGTGAATGTTTATAGCAACTTTAGTCATAATTGCCAAAACTGGAACCAACATGAATAGCTTAGGTGAGGGGATAAACAAAGTATGGTACATCAAGATGATGAAATATTATTCACTCCTAAAAAGAAATTAGCTATAAAATCACCAAAAGGGAATTTAAATGTATATTTTGGTGTGAAAGAATCCAATGTAAAACAGCTAAATATTCTACGATTGCAACTATGTATTTCTGGAAAAGACAAACTATGGAGGCATTAAAAGAATGAGTGGTTGCACGGGGTTGGGGGCAGGAGTTATGTATAGATGGTACACAGAGAAATTTCACTATAGTGAAACTACTCTATGATAACTACAGTGATGGATGTATATCATTGTACACTTGTGAAAACTCATAGAATGTATAATACCATGCATGGGTCATAATGTAAATTATGGGCTTTGAATGATAATAAGTGTCAATGTAGTTTTTATTGATGCTAATACACATACCACTGTGTTTACAAGGTTTCAATAGTGGGAGAGGTCGTGTGTATGTGGGGGCTTGAGGGTATATGTAAATCTTTACCTTTTACTCCATTTTGCTATGAATCTAATATTTAAAGTCTTAAAAAGTGTAGGAAAGAAAACAATGCATGGGTAATAAAATTCCTTTGATACTTTGAATGTGAGGAAAAGTTCATATTCTGCCCTCAAACTTGATAACTCTCCTGGGAGTAGAATTCTGTGTTTAAAATCATTACCCCAAGAATTGTGAATAATTTGCCTCTTTGTTCTAAGTTTTATTGTTTCTATGAAGTCCCAACACATCTGGATTACAGCTTGTTTGTAAGATAATTTTTGTTAAGTGGGTTTGGCATACTTTCACCTCACCCGTTAGCTTCCACACTCTATAATTTCTCTTAATCTGGAAATTCAATGTTTTTAATCTTTGGAATATCTTGAATTATTTAGTTGTTTTTGTCTTTTTCTGTTTTTCCTGAAATTTTAGTATTTTTATTTAGATATTTGACTTTGTCGATGAGTCATACGACTCTTTCCTTTTCCACTTTTTTAAATGTTACTCTGTCACTTGATTTCAAATTCTTTATCTTCCTAGATCTATTAATAGTTTTTTAAAAATTGCAGTTTTGAAATTCTCGGGTGCTTTATTTTTGCCATTTTGGTCTTTCATGTTACAGTCTTTCCTTGGGTAACAGCTTAATACGGGTTTTCTGCTCATGTTTTAACTGGGGACTGGTTAGACTTGATGAGTTTTCTACTTGGGGTGTGTTGGCTGTGCATTTCTGTAACATAACTTGATTGGACTTGCTTTTTGGGGGATCTCTGATAAGTGTCCTTAGGGCTTTTGCCTTGGCAGAAGGCTGTTAGACACTATTTTGGGGGGGCCAAGTTTGGAGAGGCAGATGGTTTTCAGTGTCTGTATGTTTGTGTGTGTGTTTCTCATGTGATCAATGATATTATTATAACTATAATCCTCCCCATAGTGAATCACAAATGTCAAAACATTTTGTGCAATACCCTCTCTCATTCATTAACTTTCTTGTCTAAAATAATCTTGCTAGTTGCTTTGTATTTGTTCCACCTGTTCTTTTTCTCACTTTTCTGTTGGCCTTTGGATTAATTTACTATGTTTTATGATTTCATTTTATCAACACTATTGATTTTTTTAAACTGAAATTTTATTTAGCAATTGACTTGAGATTAGAATATACATCTGATGACTGTCTCCTTCAAATAATATTAGTTATGGGCACCCAATAGGAGATCACAAGAGAGGAGCCTGCATGTGTTTGTGAACTCCTTTTGTGACTGTGGGTCCCAGAGGTTTTATATTCTTTCAGTAGCTTCCGTTTGCTCTTTACCAATTTTTGAAGTTTTTAGCTTTCTTCTTCTTACCTGACTGCATGGCACCCAGTGTCTCTTCCTCTTGTGCTCTGACTTACGTGCGCTGGTAATCGCATCTTCTCTCCCTTCAGGGTGGGGAGACATGTCTTTCTTAGGTTTAAGGCTCCTAGGTTGTCCTGTGACTTCAGCTCTGAAGGGTTGAAGAAAAGATTATACTTTTGTAGTTTATTTGCATTTTCTTTTGTTCAGATATAAGCACTACTTTTTGCAATTTTCTGTATCCTAGACAAAAGTAGAAACCCAGGCTGGGTGCAGTGGCTCACTCCTGTAATCCCAGCACTTTGGGAGGCCTAGGCAGGAGGAGTGTTTGAACCCAGGAATTTGAGACCAACCTGTGTAACATAATAAGATCTTCTATCTAGAAAAAATAAAAAAATATTAGCCAGGCATGGTAACATGAACTTGTGTACTCAGCTTCTTGGGAGGCTGAGGTAGGAGGATTGCTTGAGGCCAGGAGATAAAGGCTGCAGTGAACTGTGTTCATACCACTCCACTCTAGCCTGGGTGACAGAGTGAGACCCTGTCTCAAAAAAAAAGTCATCAATATTCTTGATTAAAATGTTTAGACTTTAATTTTTTACTAAGTATACTTTTTTCTTTTTTTTGAGATGGAATTTTGCTCTTGTCACCCAGGAGTGCAATGGTGCGATCTCTGCTCAGTGCAACCTCTGCCTCCTCTATTCAGGCAATTCTTCTGCCTCAGCCTCCCAAGTAACTTGAATTGCCTGCATCTGCCACCACACCCGGCTAATTTTTGTAGTTTTAGTAGAGACGGGGTTTCACCATGTTGGCCAGCCTGGTCTCGAACTCCTGACCTTAGGTGATCCACCTGCCTCAGTCTCCCAAAGTGCTGGGATTATAGGCGTGAGCCATCGTGCCCAGCCAAGCATACATTTTTTGAACTGACTGCTAAGAAAGGTTTTCTTGCAAAAAATATGAAAATCTCATTTGTAATATTAGCCTATTTAATAACAAATTCAGACTAGTCTAAGATTGTCCAGCCTCCATTTTCTGTATATATTTCAAATGTACTTAACCTATAATTGTCCATGTTTCCCTTTGACACTGGTGACTGGACTCCTAAAGGCTTCATGCAATTTGCAGGCTTTTGCACTCTTGGCTAGGACAGTGCCTGGTGGCACTGTGGGTGGGAACACAGCATCAAGTATGTTTCATACCACTACCTGAGATAGGAAGTACCTGTTTCTATGGACTCCTCTCAATATGGCAGGTGTGAGTACTTTTGAGGCAATCCAGGGATGTGTTTGATATTTTGCCCCTCTGGAGTGACTCAGAAGGAGTCAAGGTTATTTTTAAGATTTAACCATATGTTAAAGAGGACTTCGTTTATTGTACATACATCTCGATCACAAACAACTACATGTGGTACGGATGTTGGAAGTACAAAACAAAGGTTTACCAACACTCATCACAACTTATTTGAATGTAACTACTGTTCATAGTAGTCTTTTAAGAATACCTACATCTATGTTGTTTTATGTAGTATATAAAAATAGAAGGTATAAACTGGGACTCTTGTGGTCAAATTAACGCTCTATGCATATCTGGTTATATTTTGTTCACTAATTTTACAAATCACTACAGTTGGAATTTTGTAACCTTCAGTGTAATAAAACAGCTTTGGCAAGGGGTGCTTGATTCCATATTCATATTTGTTGCCTTCCTGCAATTCTTACATGGATATTCTTTCTAAAATAAGTCTTGGCTGGGCATGGTGGATCCAGTCTGTGCGACAGAGCAACACCCTGTCTCAAAAAAAAAAAAAAAAAAAAAATTAGTCTACTAAATGTCTCAAATCTCCATAACGTTGCATGGCACCTTTTGATTTAAACATAATCCCCCTTGTTCCATTTTATTATACTGTTGGAGATCAAGCCATTTCCTCTGATAGGCCTTCCTGATGCCCTCACATAGAATTAAGTATTTTATCCACTGAGAATGGATAAAATATCTACCTCTAGACATTCTTCTAGTGCTGCATCTATCAGGTTCTGTTACAAACTGCTTGTTAGATGCCAGCCTCCCCTTCTAGACCTGAGTTCCTTGAGGGCATAATACATGTGTCATTTACCTTTATATATCCGGTACTTAAAATAGAACTTGGAGACAGGATAGGTACCCTGAGTATTGTTCAGCTGAATTGGATTATTACTTGGTTATTTTAATGGCTCTGCTTAAAATGCTAAAAATTGTTTTCTTTATTTTTACTAAATGTATATGTTTACACTTTTTCTCACAATGAAAGACTAAATGTTCCATGTTTATAAACAAAATGTAAATAATTAAAAGTTATTGATATTTTCATTATTAAAACAAGAGAACTGTGACCTGCAAATGACCTGATATAAATACAAGATATGAGATTAAGATAAATAAGATTAGATATATATTTATCAATAGTTATGATAATCCTCAGCTATACCTTCAGGCATTTTATAAACATATTTGGAAAGGTAACTTATAAGCACAGGAAACCAAGTATTACATTTATTTTACACCTAGAACTACTGAGGAATCTCAAAACTCATATGATTGCACTATTCCTATTCACTATTTGTTTTGCTTCATATGATGATTGCAGTATTCCTATTCACTGTTTTGCTTTTAGCTAATGGGGATGTTATAGCTCAATCAGTAGCTGATTAAATAGTTTGAGCCCTCTAGGCTCTTCCTTTGTTTGCAATTGATTATGAAATAAAAGCCTTAGTTTTACTTAAAATAGTGTTTTAGCTTAATTTTTTTTTGTTGTTGTTGTTGTTTCTACACCAGTGTACTGACTATGACTTGGAATTTGGAACTGAGTGTTTGCAATTGGCCCTAAAATACTGTCGCACTAAAGCCAAACTTGTAGAAGGATCACCAGACCTCTGGAAGGTAAGAGGGATGATACCTTGCTTGGGTTCTTTTCTGTGCTTTTATGTGTTTGTGTGGGTGTACATTGAAAACCAGTAGTGCATTGAGTGGGAGTTAAAGGAATCTCACGGGTTTACTGAATCATCAGTGTGTAGTATCCCTTCTATTGCTTGGCTTCAAGAAAATTCACTTGGAGATAATTTACTCAGACACATCTCATTTTAACCTGTGATTGGTTTATTCACTTTTTTCTTTTTCTTCCTCTCTGTAGATAGTTTTATTAGTCTGTTCTCACATTGATATAAAGAAATACCTGAGATTGAGTAATTTATAAAGGAAAGAGGTTTAATTGGCTCATGGTTCTGCAAGCAGTACAGGAAGCATAGCAGCTTCTGCTTCTGGGGAGGCCTCAGGAGGCTTCCAATCATGGCAGAAGGCAAAGGAGGAGTAAGACACTTTGAGGCCTCACTCACTTGCAGAACAGCTCCAAGGCGGAAATCTGCCCCCATGATCCAATCACCCCCATCAGGTCTTACCTGCATTGTTAGAGATTACAATTCCACATGAGATTTGGGCAGGGACACAGATCCAAACCATATCAATAGTCTTTTTTTTTTTTCTTCACTCAGTTGGATTAAAGCTACACCCTTGCCTGCAGTATCAACATTTCCTTTCAGGCCCTGGGTGGTTGTTCCAACTTAACTGGGTTGAAAGGATATCTGCAACAGTTCTGACCTAGTGGGAGCAGTGGCTGGATCCACTCTCTGTCCCACTGTGAGGAATTAGACTGTTTCTTGTGGCAGGGCCCAGCTCCTTTAATGGCTAAATTACTTTTTTTTTTTTTTTTTTTTTAACGGAGTTTCACTCTTCTTGCCCAGACTGGAGGGCAATGGTGCGGTCTCACTTCATTGCAACCTCCACCTCCTAGTTTCAAGCGATTCTCCTGTCTCAGCCTCCCAAGTAGCTGGGATTATAGGTGCCTACCACCACACCTGGCTAATTTTTGTATTTTTGGTAGAGATGGGGTTTCACCATGTTGGCCAGCCTAGTCTTGAACTCCTGAGCTCAGGCTATCTGCCCACTTCGGCCTCCCAAAGTACTGGGATTACAGGTGTGAGCCACTACGCCTGGCCTAACCTCTTTTGGAGGGAATAGAGTACTTATTGCAAACAAGATAATGGCACTATCATACTGCAGCTTCTTATCAAGGCCAGGGATGGTTTAGAGTGTGATTCTTTGTTTCATTAGTTGAATTGAACAGGACATTTGGAAATAAGAGTCTGGAAATAAGAAATAAGTACATTTGGAAATAAGATTATTTCATAATCTTGAAATACATACTGCTGCGTTTGAAATATTGCTTGTAGTCTTTGGAAATATTATGAAACATCCATCAAAATCTGATTAGTAAAGATTCATTCTAATTGAGTCTATAAGCATATTTCCTTACTGATTTTTAAAACAGAAAGCCCTATAAGTTGATCAGTTATTTTGCACAACAATGTGATCAGCCTCACTGCATGCTAAGATTGTCTCAGGATAATCTTAAATATTTAAAATGTTGAATTCTAAGACTCCAAAATATTGACATGTTTGAATTATTGCCTGGTAGAGAAAATTTATGCGGTAGAGAAAATTCATGCAGTATTACTCTTCATTTAAGGACAACCTAAAATGCCTGCCTGGTGGGTTGATGACAACCCAGCAGGCAAACGTTTTATTCATCCTTTTCTGTATATGGCTCAGTGATATTAATTATGAGGATTTTTGGCAATTACCAATTAGATGCTTCATTAAAGATCCTGACCCACATTTCTTTGGAACTCCTTTGACTGTCTGGCAGGCCTAATTTGAAGACCAAGAAAAAAATGTGAAAACTCTAAGGCGTTTTATTGCTACTAACATGTCAATAATCCCTCGTCTCACTTTTGACATCTTTGGGGCTATGATTATTTACCTCTTGTGCATGTTCAGAGCCTTCATCACGTTTGTAAAGCACTATTGAGATCTATGGATGAAAAGGAAGCAGCACATTGCTCTCTGAATGTTACATTCCGTCTTCAGTGTTTTCTTTTTGGTGAGGTGTTCATATTTCTCTGTTCTCTCCAGCAAGAGTGTTAGTCCTCAGGTACGTCTTGATGCTCTGCTCCCCTTTTATGTGCAACAAATATTAGTGCAGGCTAACCTGATTGGCCTTTCCACACAGTGCTTCTCTTGGTTCCACTGGTGAATCCCTTTTTAGGGATGTTGTTATGGGTTCAACTGTCCCCTAAAAAGGTATGTTCAAGTCCTAATCTGTGGCACCTGTGAATGTGACCTTAGTTTGAAATAGTGTCTTTGCAGATATAATCAAGTTAAGATGAGGCCCTGCTGGAGTAGTGTAGGCCCTAAAGCCAGCATGACTAATATCTGTACAAGAATAGAAGAGACACAGATATAGGGAGAAGGCCATGTGGTGATGGAGGTGGATATTGGAGTGATGCATCTGCAAGCCAGGGGTTGCCAGCCATCACTGGAAGCTAGGAAGAGGCTAGAAAGGATTCTTCCCAAAAGCCTTCAGAGGATCCTACTTGTATCTTGATTTGAGATGTCTAATCTCCAGAGTGTGAGAGAATATAAGTATTTCTGTTTTTTGTTTGTTTGTTTGTTTTTAGACTGAGTCTTGCTCTGTAACCAGGCTGGAGTGCAATGGCACAATCTTGGCTCACTGCAACCTCCGACTCTTTGGTTCAAGTGATTCCCTTGTCTCAGCCTCCCAAGTAGCTGGGACTACAGGTGCGCACCACCATGCCTAGCTAATTTTTGTATTTTTAGTAGAGACGGGGTTTCACCATGTTGGCCAGGATGGTCTTGATCTCCTGACCTTGTGATCCACCCATCTCGGCCTCCCGAAGTGCTGGGGTTACAGGCGTGAGCCACCGCGCCCAGCCAAATTTCTGTTGTTTGAAGCCTGCCAATTTGTAGTAATTCACTGTAGCAGGCCTGGGAAACACATGCCGAAAGGGCGAGGTCCCCTAGAAATCAGCCTCATAGCATCACTTTCGACATGGAACGGAAGTAGAGAACTTTACTCTTATGAATGAGATTGGAATAATGCCGTGCTTCAAAGGGAGCTTGGACCCTAAAAGGCCTGTCATGCTCTGGATTGGGGAAAATGTCTTACAGATAGACGTTATGAGGGTTTTTGGTTTGTTTGTTTTTTAGTATCACATTTTTTTTTCCTGTTAAGTGAGGTGATACTAGAATGCAAATATTGCAGGTTTTTTTCAGGGTCCCTATTTTCTCTTTCTACCTCTTGTCTCATCTTTGATTTCTCTTTTTGGTATTTTCATAGCTGATTATTTAACCCCTTTTGATAACATTGTAAGATTTGTCATTAAGCTTTTACTTTAATTTTGTAATCTTATTTTGTATGACGAGAGTATTTGTTTTACACAACAGTGGAGTTTATGCTTTGAAATTAGTGTCCTAATTCTACACTATTTCCAAAGATGCTGGACTCAGATGGCATGGCCATGTACTTGAAACATGATTCAAAATCTGACAGTAAAATACACATTTGGACATGGTGGAGGCATTTTATTACCATGAAACAGCGTAAGGCAAAGGAGGATTCTGAAACACAGAGCAATATACCTTCCCTTTCCCCTCAAAAGTCAGGGAGTTCACTTCGCACTGGTTTAGAGAGTGACTTGAAATTTCTGAGGAATGCATGTGGTACTAGAATTTCAGTAGTAGAATTTCAGTTGCCACCAGAAGTCCCAGGAGGATTATTTTGTATTTTATTTTATTTAAATAATTTATGTTTTTGAGATGGAGTCTTGCTCTGTCACCCAGGCTGGAGTGCAGTGGCAAGATCTCGGCTCACTGCAACCTCTGCCTCCTGGGTTCAAGTGATTCTTCTGCCTCAGCCTCCTGAATAGCTAGGACTATAGGTGCATGCCACCATGCATGGCTGATTTTTGTATTTTTAGTAGAGACGGGGTCTCACTGTGTTGGCCAAGCTGGTCTGTATTTTGTATTTTATAAATATGTTTTGGTAAAAGTAAAAAGTAAACATTCTGGCTTGATGTCACCTTCCTGTGCTAACTCTTCTGGGGTCTGGAGATAATATCAGTATTTTTTTCTTTCAAATACCATGCAGAGTAGAAAATGACCACAGTACCCCACTCCCCCACAGGGTGACGGGCAGTGAGGAGTACAGAACTGGTTCTGGGAGTAGGGATCAGCTGTCATGCTTCCCTGGAGTAATCTTGCTTTGACAGGCCCAAGTAAACACTCTTATTTTGATGAGATTTCATCTAGTCTGCGTACCAACTTGAGTCCCTTTAATTTAGAGTTGTACCATATTTTTGACCCCGTATACTTTTAATTAGCTTGGCTTCTTACTACACTGTACAGGCTTAATTGAACAGATGTCTTGTTTCTAAATGTCAAAACTGTCTTTAAGCCATACAAGGTTGATAACCAGTTACTGAAGAAATTTAACCACTGTGTTCCATTGTCTGAATGTGTTTTTTTAGGAGTTTCTGAAGTTTTTGTATAATCACAATATTATTGGAATGAATGACTTTTGAGGATTCGTTTTGTTGGGGAATACACTTTTTTTTTTTTTTTTTTTAGGTCCAAGTATTTCAGCATCTGTTTAAAAACAAAAGAAACAAAATAGTCTCTATTTGGTTTTTGTAACTTCAAAAACACAATATGGTGAAATTGTTTCTCTTCAGATATTTTTATATAGTTTTCCAGCATTTTATATAGGTGTCCAGAAAAGAATATTTTCTACACATATATGATTGGTAAGGAAATAAGTTCTGAAAAATCTATACCTAATAAACATTCTGTTATCTTTGAAATGTAGGTTTTGCCTATTTATTGTGAAGGGAGAGATGGGAGAACATTATGTGTCATCTTAAGTTATTGAAGATAGTGGCCAACTGGCTGTGTCTGAAAGATTTTTTTTTTTTAACTATTTTATGTCTCAACACAGAAAGAACAACATGTAGACGTGATAGGAATGAGAAATTCCCACCATATTATTACCTTACCATGTCTATGAGATTGGAGTGTTTATCCTCCAGATTAGCTAACTACTAGATTTATACAGAAACTTTGTTTAGTGAAGTGGGCTACTGCACTTCTATCCAAAATAGATTCCTCTGCTATTCCTTTATCCTAGCAGGTAAATCCTGGACCAAAACTATACCTTACCATCCAGAAATAAAGTAGCAGCCCACTTGGTAACACAGATAAAAAGTTGTTCAAGCAATTCAACCAATCTATTAAAATGTGAAATGCTATATAGTATCTTTTAAACAACACATGCCAACCCAAACCAGTGACTTTTGATGTACTTTTAGCCTTATTTTTTTCTACATAACTAACATACTTCAAAAGCAGTATGACTGGAAAATGTGGTAATTCTCAATTGATGGGTTATTCATTTTTTCCGTCTAACTTTTACAACAATATGGTTTGTCCTTATTTTAATTAAAAAAACCAACAGCCTGATAATGAGTATTGAAGTTCCTTTTATCCTGTTAGCATAATCAGTAGTCTTCCTTTGACCTTGCACAATACTCTATAATGAAAAATTACTTAAAAAAATCAGTCCTGTAGTGATGAGAAACAACTTCAATCCTCTAATTTGCTGGTTTTCAGACTGTGCTCACTAGAGCCTCAGGGGCCACCTGAAGAAGAGGAAAGGTTCTGTACCTTTCACCTGTACAGGTGAAATTCCAACCCAACACCTGGCACTCACCTAATTCAGCTCAGTTTTTCTCTATTTTGTTTGATTCTGCTTCTGTGTGCTATTTCAGCTGAGTTTAGGTATGGTGAGGTAATAATATGGTGGGAATTTCTCAAAATGGGTCTAACTTGCATCATAAATACCTAGGTACTTGAGTGCAGTTTCTAGGACCTTATAAAAGCTTATTAATACTGTCTCTTTATTTACTGTGTATTTCAGCTCTGTGATATAGAATTCTGCTACACAGTGCACTTACATGTTCTGTACCTGAGCTCACTGGATGTGGGTCTGTGAAGTATCTGCCATAGGACAGACACATACATTACAAGGAACAGATTACAATTAGGAGGAGGCTGCATATTTTTAAGAAAAGATCATCATTGTTCTTAGGCACATAGTGGTACCCTATAGGCTCTTTTTATTTTATTGACATTTTAATAAAAATCTTACAAGGTGAATCTTACCTAGGTATATACAGATATATGTAATTCAGAAGACAGTCCCTCTTAACATAAATTGACCTTTCAGAATTTTTTCAGCTAATAATGCAACTTGGTGACTTTTTTGTTATATGGAGACTTCTGCCCTACCTTTTTTTTTTTTTCTAGTATAAAGCCTAATTTTTATGCAGTCATGTTAACACTGTTGTTTAAATGCTGCCACATTTTCTTTAAGTATAATACTTGAGTTACATTAAGATTTCAGTAACCACTGCCACATGATATCTTAATTTATTCAAAGATTTAAAAACCAATCAGCCATTTGTAGAAATAGAATATATTTTATGTGAATTTGCTGATGCTTTTCTAATCGAGAAAATGTCAGTATTACATGTTTATAGCTTCTGAAAAATCAAGAATTTCCCTGGGGGCATTATTTTATTGCCTGCACATTCCTTCCTGCTCTGTTAAGTCTAATGAAGTTTATCTGTCCTTTAGGTGACCTACAAACGAGATCTGTATGCGGCTGAATCGATTATTAAGGGTATGTTTGGCCTTATGACTGTCAGTTCCTGTGTTTCAAAAATGTAAGCCAGTTCGGAATTTCTCATGACGGTTTAAATCCCAGCAATCTTGAAAGCAGAAAAGCCTGTAGGCCACTAAGGTCTCTGATATGTTTTTTGAAAATAATTACATTTTATGTTGTTTCATGCTAGTGAAATAGCAGTTATTATGATACCACATTGATTTTAATTTTTATAAAGGAAATACTTTATTAACTTGAGGGAAGTATGGGACATTGATACTATTAGAAGGAAAATAGCAAAACCTGATTTTAATAATTTTGTAAAGATCTCACTTCATTTTAACTACGAAGAGGGCTGCCCTCTCCCGTTAACAATGTCATATCAGTACATTAGACAGCATCTTCTATGTGAGAAACATTTTTCCTAAATGGAGAAATTAGTCTGGACAGGGTGATTTTTAAAGTTTCTTTTGGGTTCTGACAATGACTGCAATTTTGTAATTGTAGATATCTTAGGTGTGGTAACTCTTTTTTAGTTCTTTTTCATCTCTGACTCAAAGATCCCAGCTAAATAGAGGTAGTTGATTTAATAAGCAACAAGTATTTGTTATTTTGCTTAACACTGTGCAAGGAATGTAGTTAAGATGCACTAGGGACAGTCTTTCTGTATTTTTGTAGCCTGTTACTTAAGTCAGCTTTCTCAGTCTTGGCACTATCTTGGCATTTTAGCCTGGAAAATTCTAAGCTGTGTGGACTATTCTGTGCATTACAAGTGGTTTAGCAGCATGTCTGGCCTCTGCTCACAAGCTGCCAGAAGTACCCATCCCTCACTCCCCTTCCTCTGATTTTGACAGTCAAAGATGTTTCCTGATATTGCCAAATGTTCCCTAGCGGGGAAAAAAATTTCCACTTAATAGAGAACCACTATTTTAAAATACGGACTCCTAGCAAAATCAGAGATGTTCACCCCAATCCTGAAATACATGTGATGCTTTACAGTGTGTTAGTAACTGATTTCTTTGAAAACAGATTATGGCTAGAACTGCATGCTCAGATTTTCATTGAGATGTGAACTTCTAAATTTAAACTTTTTTGAAGTTAAAAAATGTACTGAATCTGCATTCTGAGTGCATCAATTTATTAAACAATTTTTGGAAACCCTATTTAACCATCTAAGGACTTCACATTCAGAAAATGAAAATCTTTTCTCTGATCATGACAATGTATTTGTGATTTGCCCTGAAGTTCTTTGTCCTTCAAGGATATTTTGTTTTAAACTATTAATGTACCATAACTTATGAATCTGTTTGTGTGTATGTAAACAGATCATTTATAGCTATAAATCAAAATGTTGACATATATTTACATATCAACCAAGCAGTGCATAAACATTACTCTGGAAAAGTCAGCTGAACCATGATGTGGTTTTCATGTCCTCAGTACAAGGAAATATAAAACTCAGTTTGGTTTCTTCACAGAGCTTTGCATGTACTACGTAGGAAAAATAGAAATGATTTTTTTTTTTGTTAACAATTAGTAGTTCAACTGAGAAATATAATTGTAATAATTGGCCTACATATTATCAGAGGCTTCTTAAAATGTAAAAACCTATACTGCAAGTGTTATTGCAGGAGCTATGACTTTGGAAATTGTTTGCAGAAATGGCTTTTATTTATGTAATAGGTTCTGGTCTGCTACTTTCATTTTTAAAGTATTTAAACTATTTCATTTTTAAAGTATTTAAAGTATTTAAAACATGTTCTACTTTTATTCTTAGGGAAGGTATTTACACAACTCATTTAGGTCAATAAAATTTTAGTTTCTTTATATTTTAGGGTTTGTGTATCTAATAACTTCCCAGGAGATTCTGATGCTTCTGGTACACTTCTAGGATCACTGCTCTGGGGCCTTTCTACTCTGTGAATGCCCTAGACCAGCAGCGTTGTGATTACCTGAGAACTAGAATCTCAGCCCCCACCTGATTCAATCAGAATCTACATTTTAACAGGAGCTCTGGTTGATTAGTTTGTACATTAAATTCCAGACATCTTCCTCTAGCTTGCTCCTCAGTCTTTTATAGGTTATTTATTTCTAAATAATATCTATATTGCAATAAGAGCTTTCAGTCTTACGATGCTCTCCCAGCTGCAAATGCTTGTTTGCTCACCTGAGGTCACCCCTTCCATTTATGACTTGTACTCAAGACTATCTCTGATAGTAGAAATGCCTCTCTGGGCATAGAAAAGAGAAAACTCCAAAATTCCAAAATATGATATAGCATATAGCATACTATGAGAGCTGTATATTTACCTGTAGGCATTTTCCTAATGTATTAATCAGGGTTATTTAGAGGAGCAGAACCAGTAGGATATAGAGCTATAGATAAGATGTATACGTAGATTTATTATGAGGGATTGGCTCATGTGATGATGGAGGCTAAGTCTCACGATCTGCCAGCTGCAAGCTGGAGGCCCAGGAAAGCCAGTGGTAGAGTTCCAGTACAAACCCAAAGGTGGGATTTTGGATTCCACCACAAGGTGAAACTTAAGATGCATAAATGTTTATGCTCAAAGCAGTAATAAAGGCTATAAAGCTTCTAAGCCAGTTCAAGTTCAGGACTGATTTTGCCCACAAATTTATATAAAAACAATTGTTTATTATGGTTTTAAGAAAATTTTAGATTTCAGCATTGCCTGCAACGCTGTATGAACCTGTTTTAGATTGTGATTCAGTGAAGGTGGAAAGAATGTCTAATTTTTATGTTGCATCCCCTAACATTTACTTGAGTTGAATTGCATAATAGGCTAACAGATGCAGCTGCAGTTTTTCCCTAGAATCTAAGGGAATTTATGGCCCTTCTTTCCTGCCTTACCACTCTGCCTGCTCCTGACACATGCTTATAGGGAACCAGAATATTTATCACTATATCATTTTTTTTTTCCTTTTAAACATAGAAATGGTATAGTATTTTTGATCATTCTTTGTCAAGATTTAAAACCAAGAGTTGGAGGACATTGAACTTATGCTAGGTGCCTTATGTTATCTCACTTATTCTTTACAATAATGCTGTAAGATATATACTATTGCTCTCATTTTGCAGGTGGGAAAACTGACCTAGGTTACTTTCCTCTGGGTCACACAGTTAGTAAGAGTAAGATCCATTATTTAAGCTCAGGTCTCCATTGTCCTTAAGTTTGACTCTACTCTAGGACATGTCCATTTTGTACCTCTGATTCACATAGCTACTCCTGCTGCCTGCTAAAGCAGATGCTGGATTCAAGAGCTCTCTCTTGGGTGAGTACATCAGTGGCTTATAAAGTTCAGCTTGCCTATCTCTGATTCCTGAGTTGAAAACTCTACCTTCAGCTGGTGTGATTAAGAATGATCCTATAAGTAAGACAGAAAATTTTCTATCCCAGTGTTTTCCTAAGCACATAGTACAGTCTTCTAGAAAGTGTTTGTTACTGGCATCACAGGTGTGTGAAAAGCATATAATGTTGTAATGACAGATTTGTAGACATGCTCAGAAAAAATAATAAAATTCCAAATCAAAATAATTGTTTTAAAATGGTTTGGGGTACTGTTTAATTGTTTTTTTTTTTTTTTTTTCTGTTGTTGTTAATTCAGGTAGTTGATGTTCATTATCTAGACAGCAGATTTCCTTTCCAGGATGGAACTTTTTTTGTTCTGTGATGAGTGCTTCATGTTTTTTTTTTTTTTTTTAGTGTCATTCCTGAGCTGTTTTTTTCTCTCAAATAACAATTATTGCTGGTCAACAAATTGTATTCTATTAAAGTAACTATTTCGTTGTTTACTTAGTTTGTTTTCAGGTGCTAGAAAACATTTCTAGGATAAATATCATGTCTCATGTTTTGCAAGAACATTTTGTACTCCAAAATTTACTTGTCACCAAAGTAGCTTGTGTGTTTTGGTCCATCTTAATTTATGTTCAAGTCAACATCTTTGGTTTAGTATGGGAATTTTGATGTTGGGAGAAAAATGAATGTTCTTTCATTGGTATTTGGTGTAGGTTTGCTAACTTCAAGGCATGTTTTGACTAAAATCTCCAAATTGTGGTAGATAGAAAGTCTCCAAATCTGATTTTTATCTTATGTTTTTGGATAATTTTAAAGCTTAATTTATGTTAGCATCAATATGTTTATATGGATTTCCATTTACAGTAAACTGTTTGAAAAAACATGTATAGAAAGTAGTAGTTTCATTTGTCTTTCAGTCTATTAAAATATAATTAAAAATTTGTTAAAACTATATAAAACAAAGGATTCATAATAATCCCTTTTCTTAGGTAGAGGGTTGGATTTGGTTTTTCTTTAATGTTTGACTCATTCAGGCTTCTACTGTGAGTGAAATTTAAAACAATTTTCTAGGGAGTAGTATGATTAATTGGTACAACAAGACACTGTACTGACTGATAAGTTTGTAAATATCCACTTAACAAAGAGGTATTGTAGTTTTGTCGCCCAAGCTGGTTGAGCCCACCCAAGTCTGCTCTGCATGCTCAGATGAACCCAAATGATTAAAGTGGTAACAGATGCCAGTGGTAACATACTTTATATAGATTTACATAAGCCATACAAACAGTTCCAACCCACACTTGATTTAGTATGCTGACCATATCCTGGCATATGAAGGTCAATATTCTAAGAGTTTCTAAGAAAAGCCCCTGTGGAATTTCTAAATAAAATATTGCATTTATTTTCTACCTCCATTCTTCAGCTACTTAATATATTTAATTTTGTGGCTAAAGAGTACTTTTAAAGTTTTATTTTATTCTTTCTTGGTTATGTTTGTACAAACCCAAGTAAGCTTGTGCTACAAAATTGCCTCATGGTGCCTCTTTTCATATATGGTGGTGTGTATTGTAAAAGAGGGAAATTAGGTAAAATTGGAAATCCGTTTCATCCCTTTTGGTTTTAACTGACTTTAGTTAATCTTATTTCCAGTCATTATGTAATGTTTTCCATTTGTTAGGTATTTTAAGGAAATTGATTTCTCTG